ATATATATATATATATATATATATATAAATATATAATTTTTGTAAGGCTAAATAATTAAGATAGTGCAAAAGCAGTTACATATTATAAGCTGATTATGCTATCATTAAAGAAATTTATAGATCTGATTTCCATTGCTAGAGCACACATGTCATTTTATTAAGCTATTTGTTACATGGGCATTATATTTCTTATTCTATGTCTTTACATTCCTTCTATTAAAATTCATAGTAATTTGTATATTTTCATTTTTTTCTCAGCATAGATTCCTATATTATTCTACATAAATAGTGAAAACATTTAGCCATAAAACTTCTTCAAAATTGTACCTACTTATTATTTTTGTCTGTCGATAGTGTTGAGCCTGAAATATTCTTGACCTTTACATTTTATGGTTTAGTGGCTATTCATTCATGACTCAGATATTTGTGTGTGAGATCCAATTCTAGGCTCTAATGGAAAAATATGGCCATATATGGCATAATATGTGAATGAAGGGAAATAAAATCCCCAAACAGTACAAATTGTTTTCTTAATAAGTAAATGAAGATAAATAGTGCAAGGAAACTAGAAATCAGCAAACGCACAAGACACTAAGAGATGACTCCATGGAGAGAAGACACAGGTTAAAAGGAGGGACGAGTTTGTCAACGACTGACATGTAGCAAAAGACAGAAAAGAATGCTAACATTTCCCAATGGAATTTTTAAAGAGTTTCAGCGCGATGAGTCTTTAGTGGTATTAGAAATGAAAAGGAGGTGATAAGTGTCAGGTAAAAGGCCGAAGACCAAGACCAGGCCAGGCCACAACAAGCCTTTGTTAGGGAACAGATCTGCCGGGCTGTCTCTGAACAAAGGAGAGACAAAAGCAATATGGCCGGGGCAGGGAGAGTCTTTTATAGAGACTGGGGTGGGGTTTGTAGCGGCTGAGGTGGGGTTGAGTGAGGTAGTGACTAGGGAATGGAGGAGCCCATGAGGTCACTAGGTGGTAGGAGGTGAGCGAGTATTAGGTTACTGTCTAGGTGGGAACAGGGGCATGCTGGGAAGAAGGGTTTGTTCTTTGGTGGGAGCAGCCATCTTGGCATGATGTCACACAGGGGAGGGGGCAAGGCATGATAGGAA